CACACACACACAAAAACAACCTAGCTTAGTTTCCCAGGAATCACTTTCTTATTGAAATGAGTAGATTTCTGAGTATACCAAATTTCAAGTTACAGATAAGCAACAAAAGGATAGCTGCTTTGTCCAAAGAAGTGTAGGTATTAAATTAGATAGGTAGAGTGGGAGATATGCATGTATGAGTGGATGGTATTTTGGAAGTTCACTCATTTTCTGTGACTGAACTAGCCTGAATTCAAAGGATTGCAGGTTTTGAAGAACTATATAGGACTATATGGAGGAGATAAAGTCACAAATTTCAAAAAGGTTTTTCAGATTTTTGATATATAAATGAGCATCACCTGGATTTTTTGTGCCGGAATTTGAAGCACAAACTTCAGTGTATGTTGCTGATGTGGTGTAATACTTAATTATTGTGGCTCTGTTTCAACGTACTGTATATTGATGGATCATTTACTGTATGATAAGAACTATGCCAAGCATTTCTACATATTTTCTCCTTAAATTAAAACTGATTAAACCAATAGTAAAGCATGTTTGTGCAAAAGATAAACTTAGTGCCAAATATACAAGCCTCAGAATATTGTTGAAATTGCTGGCAAAATGTGGTCCAATCCTGGGCAATGTATGGGTCTACCCAATTCTGAGAAGTGTATTTCTTCTCTTTCATGAAACTACAATAGGCTTGTTTGCAGTCCATAATATAGACTATAAAATAGCAATACCTATAAACAAGACAGAAGCTTGTTTCTCTCTCAAATTTAAAAGAAGTCAGGAAGTAGAGTCCAGGACTGGTAAATCAGCTACATGGTCATTTGGAAAGGAAATTTCTTCTATATTTTTGTATCTGCATTCAAGATTTTATTTTATTTTTTACCATGGACTTATTAGCTACACTTTTTTTTGCCAGCTGTTCTAAGATTTAAAGTATGTATTTTTAACTTATCACAATTTACCTTCAAACAATAACACTTCATGTACATTGTAAGATCTTCCTATCCAATATACTTCCATTTTCTCTTTCCATCCTTTGAGTTATTTGTCAAACATTTTATTTCTATATGTTATGATTACATAATAGAGTGTTGTTTTTGCTTTAAAGTAAATTATCTTTTTCAAAAACTTTTTAATGAGGGAGAAAAATCTTTTATATTTATTCATACATTTTCCACAATTTCTGGGACTCTTCATTCTTTGGTACAAATCCACATTTCCCTATGGTATTGTTTTTACTGTACTGAAGAAGTTGCTTTAACATTTATTGTATTGCAGTTCTGCTGGAGACATTGTTTCAGCTTTTGATTTTTTTAGCCTTCATTTTTGAAAAATATTTTCTTCAAATATAGGGTTCTCATGACAGGTTTTTAATTCTTCCAGCCCTTAAAAAATGAGCTTTTTTGTTGTATTCTTACTTGCAGAATTTCTGATTGGAAGTCTATGGATTTTTGTCTTTATTCTGCTATACATAATATATTTTACTATACATAATATGCCTGTTTTCCCCTGGCTGTTTTTAACATTTTCTTCTTTGTCTTTGATTTTCAACAGTTTGATGATGATGATGCCTTTGTGGTGGCTTTTATGAGTATGTGGATTTACCCTGCTTAGGGCTCATTGAGCCTCTCGAATCTGTGGGTTGATAATTTTCATCCAATATGAAAACATTTTTAACTGTATTACTTCAAATAATTTTTGTGTCATTCCCTTTGGCCCTTCTTTCATCTAGAACTATAATTATACAAGTATTAAAATATGTGGGTCTAAAAAACTATAGTTGTTTTTTTCATGTGCTTTATTTTGGTTAGATTCTATTTTTTGTCTTCAAGTGCACTATTTTTTTCTTTTGAGTCTGAATTTGCTCAGTGTCCAACCTGCCTCTGAGTGTTAATCCTATCCAGTAAAATTTTTATTTCAGAAGTAGTAATTTTAATGTCTAAATTCTACTTTTATATTATTAATTTCTCTCTGTCAGTATGTGGAGCACATTTACCATAACCATTTTAAATGCTGTTGGCTGCTTGTTCTATCATGTCTGTCACTTGTGGCTTTATGTAGACTGATTTTACTCCTGATTATAGATTACATTTTCCTCTGTGTGTGTGTGTCCTATTTCTCTTGTCACTTCCCAAGCATTTTCATCATCTTCCTGTCTACTTCTTGAGTGCTAGTGTTCTCTAGGGTTCCAATACTGATTCCTTCTTTTCTGCTGTGCATACTATGCCAGGATGGTCTCATTCATTCCCATAATTCTCTCTTCTGCTACTCTGATCTCTCTCCAGAGCCCAAGAGTGATAAATGTAACTGTCCACTTCACTTCTTCATGAAGATGTCCCAAAGCCATCTCAAACTCAACATATCCAAAGAGAGCCAATCAAATTCCTGTTTAGCTTCAATATTCCCTAACTCAATGAATTGCATCACTAGATGGTAATGACATAAGCCAGAAATCTGGGAGTCATTCTTGGCTTCTTAATAGAAGATACTGTGATCCCCTTCACAGTCTCCTTCTTATTCTGGGTAATTGCTCCAATTTTTATTGATATCCACATCTCTTTATTACAGTATTGGGAGAATCTGACCCCTTTTGCTCTAAGAGTCGGTATATGCCTTCATCTGAAGATAATTAGCCTCATACCACCTACTGGCCCCCACTTTTAGTTTATGGATGGACATTTCACTCAAATAGTGAAGCTTCTGGGAAAGGAGTTTTCTATTCTTTCTAAAAGTGACATCTTCTTGGATCAGATGTTGGATAGAGTTGTTAGCTACTGTCACTTGACCATAAAGCTCAGGAAGAAAAGCAATGAAAATGAGAAACATATTTGTAAGGACATCACTGAGTTGTTGAAGCAATCACCCCCACATAGACACCCTTTTTCCTGAACTTTCTAGCTAGATAGGTCAATAAATCTCCTTTCTTGGTTAAATCAGTTAGAGTTGGGTTTTCTGCTGCTTGCAAAGCAAAAGCATCACAATGCATAACTTTCTTTCACTCTTCATTCCTTAACACAGGATTTTGTCCTTAGACTCTATTAACTCTATTCTGTAAATAGGGGCTGATTACTCTCAGTTCAGTCCCCTGCTGCTAGTGACTTAGTTCAGTCTCTTATCTTCCTGACCCCCTATGATACCATAACAATCCCCATACCTGCCAAACTCCACAGAGTGATCTTTTTAAATGCATACCTTATCAAAATTTCATCTGCTTACAATCCTGGTGTGGTTTTCCATTGCTTCCAGAAAACAAAACAGAAAAACCCATGTTCCTTAGCATATCGTTCAAGATTCTTCAACCTTTTCAGAGTATCCCCTCTTGCCACACCCCCAACTTCACAACTATTTTCTGAACCAACATGCTTTTAGGTCACCTGCTTCTATGTTTTTTCACTTTCTGTCCTCCCCAATCCTACCAACGTATCATCTCCCCCTTCCCTACTAAAATACACAAATATACCAATTCTAGTTATCCTCAAACTCTTGACCTTGCTGGAGTCTGGGGTAGTATGCATTTTCTCATTACAGAACTTGCCACGATGAGTCTATTTACCTCTCAGCCTTTTCAGAATAACCACTTTGAAAACAAGTTATGCTTCTTTTACATTTTTGTGTCTCTGTTTCCCAGGAAAGTGGCTGGCACGTAAGTGGGTTTTTTTGAACGAGCAAATTACATGATCTGCAGGCATCAGAAGTTCTGATCCTGAGACTCCTGAAAATCCTGACTTTCCTGCTCTAAATGTGTGTGATTCCTGACCATGAAACTTTTTCTTACAGAGTATGGGGTTCTAGGTAGCCTGAGCACTCTGGAGAGCCATCAATGTGTCCTGGCTTTCTCTGCCCTTCTTACCACCACCTATGCATACCTGGGTGCCTAGAATGGGTGTAGACTTAGCTGACCAGCCCAATAACGTACTTATCCCTTGGTTCAGGTTTTTCATTGCCAAATGAAAGGTGGCCAATGCGTGTACATGGTGAACAATTTTAAACTTTGCACTTACCTTTTAAACTTTATGAAATTTGTATTTCTTAAAAACTATAGGCCTTAAACTAAACAAATCCTGATTATTTTACACTGATCAAATAAAATACACTGATATTAATACCAAACTTTACATTAGCCAGTACTAGAGTTCGGTGTGACTAATTGAACAAAGAAATTATGCGATTCTGTTAGTGATGATGTTCCTAACAGTTTTATAACATAATTGCTAAATTACCGGAAGCAACTAGATTTCATTGTCTTAGCCCAAGAAATTTGAATTTAAGAAAGGATTCACTTGAGCCCACAGAAAGGAGTATTTGTGTTTTAGGATTTGTGGAAAAAAACTAAGCAGTAGGAAAGACTGAAGTACAGGGAGGAAGTTCGATTTCACTAGGCACTGTGAGTGGCATGGCTATTTGTTGCGGGTGGAGCAAAGAAGAAAGGACTGGCCATGGGCCGAATCTCCAACAGCACCAGGATACAAGACCGGCCTTGTTTAGTCAACAGCAACCCTGCACACGCTAGCTTAGTGAGTCGGTGACCTAGGCAACGGTCGACCCGCCCGCAACATCCCTTCGAGCATGCGCAATGCAGAGCGAGTGCGGCCGGATCTTTCCCTTTTTTCCCCCCTCAGACGGAGAACTACAATTCCCAAGAGCTCTTTTGGCGTAGCGTCACCGCCTCCAACTGTGGTCCCACCCCGGTCCTGCCTTCAGGCCCCGCCCTCCGCCTAGTCTCCGCCCCTCCCCGCGAGTGTGTGTCAGTGACCCAGAGGCGGTGTGAGGCGGAGGGACCGTCGGGGGGCGCCGCCGCCTCCACCACCACCAGCAGCGGCAGTACAGCCTCAGCAGCAGCAGCAGCAGCAGCAGGAGCAGCCGCAGCAGAGCAGCAGCGTTGCGGCGCGACCGGATCTGTCTCGAGCCTGCGGAGCGCACCACAAAGCGGGCCCCGCGCCTCTCGTTCGTCCGCGGCTCCTCGGCGCTCGGCTTGGCGGTCAACTTCGCGTCTTGGGGCTTGGGCGGCTGGCGGGGAAGGCGGCGGCAGCCTGGTCGCGCTGCCCGCGCACTGCCACTTCGCCCCCGCGCTCGGGTCTCGGGGCCGTGCTGGCATTCCGGCCGCCAGGAATTGTCGGGTGAGTGCGGCGGGAGGGGTCGCGGCGGCGCCGGGGAACCGCGCGGGACCGGCGGACGCACAACTTCCTCGGCGGCCGGCCGGCTGGGTCGGCTCGCCGGGCCGCGCCGCGCCGCGCCGGGAGGCGGCGGGGAGCGGAGTTTGCGGCGCCTGCATCCCGCGCCCTCGCAGGAGGAAGCGCCTTTGTCAGGAGCGGCCGGCGCCCTCCCCCACCGCCGCGGAGCCCGACTCCGACCCGCGCCCGTCCGCGGCGCGAGCGAGGGGAGCCCTGCCGGCCGCGGGGAGGCCGAGCGAGAGGGCTGAGAAACAAAGGGGGCGGTGGGCTTCCCTTTTGTTTTGCTTGTGTGATAACTTCTTTCTCCTGCCTTACATAACGCGGACTCCCAAGTTAGTCATTCTTTTTATTGTTGTGATGGTTGTCATCATCGCTGAGCGTCTCTCAGATTTCCTTTCATCTTGGGATCTCAGAGCATTTTAAAAACACTAATTAATTTCACCTCCGGGGCCCTTGCTGCCGAACGAGTTTAATACGCCCGCTTCCGTAAGTGGGTAAACTGAGGTTCGGAAAGCTCTCTTAATTGATGGATAACTCTTGATCTCCCGCGCCTGTTGTGTGAGGCTCCGAAAGCGTTGATGAGTAATAACTCGTTCTCCAATGCCCTGTGGAAAAGTTAAAGATGCTCATTTTGCTTACAGGTTAACTGAAGTCGGAAAGAAGTCTGGGTAATTGTTAGGTTGTTCAGACAATAGTTCTTTTTACATCGCGTCTGAATCTTAAAATCTCAAAGGACTTCCTGAAAAACGTTCCGAGTGGGGAAGAAACTGTAAATCATAAACTCACCATCTACTTTTTTACACGTGCAAATATCGTACGAGGCAAGAGAACATGGTGGGGGGGAGGGGATAGTTTTTTTTTTTTAAGTGCGTTTAACACATTTTAGTCATTAAACACGAAACGTGTTTTGATTTGAGCACCAACAATCTTCCCATCATTTAGTCATCAAACAGTATATCAACAAATATTATTGAGCACATTCTCAAACTGCTGGTTGTACCAAGAACTGAAGCCTTTTAAGTGTATCAGAAGGTTACTTGTTTTTATTCAAAGGCTGTTTACTTTTTCTTACTCTGTAGAATGTTACTTTGTCTCATAGCAGGTGATCTTTTGTTTCAAATATGGCATTGTCTTTGACATTGACTATGTATTACTCTTACAACTGAGGAGAGATGAGTTTATTATTCAGTTTGCATAGTCAGTGAATTTAAGGTTTTGAACTGGGAGAAGGATCAGTTTCTGTAGTTCCATCGGAGTAATCAGATCTGTATCTCTCAAAACGTTGTCCTGATTGTAGTCTTTGTTTTTTAACCCATACTAACAACTTCTAGAGTAAAGTACTTAACTCCGAGGGCAATTTTATTTATTTTGGTAATTTTTATTCTGGGGTATCAAACGGAAAGGTACCAAAAATTTAAATCAAGCATTTCTACAAGTTCTTAGATGAGTAATGATCAGAGCTGTAGTAATAGTGAGTACTTTCACTCATCACGAAATTCCTTTGAATTTAATTTTGTATTGTACAGTTGCCCCCAGATTTTACATCCTCGTGGTTTCATCACAAAATGAAAGTGAGGCATTTGTTATTTTGTTATTGTTTTCCTCAAGCCTCTAACCAATGTCCTTTCTGTAGTTTTGTATCATGAGTTTAAAACACTTGGAAAATAGAACAGTTAAGTGTGCGAAAGGTTGTATTTTTGTGAAGTGGTTACAATGTCTCATCCAATAAATTTAAGACTTTTAAAGAGCAAAGTATCTCCTAGGTTTTTATTAGAGTGGTAGTATTTATTGACTTGAAAAAAGTAAGCTGCAAATCTACCTTAGTAGCAAATTTAAGGAGTTAAGTGCTCCTTAAAATTGGCATTTAAGTAATCTTACACTTGGGTTATGTTGAACTTTTTGTAAGTACTTACTAACCAGATTTACTAGGGTTATTTGCACTTCAAGGAAACTACTCACAGTGTCTTTGCTCAAACCCTGAAGTCAAAAGGCAGACGTTAGTGTTGACTGATGAAGTCTGGCTTTGCAGGTTTCTTAATTTGTTTGGAACTCCTTAAAACACATAACTGAAAAATATAGGGCAGAAAACTGAGGTGAGTGCCACTGAGGCAAGTTTCACAGGGAAGCCTAAGGATGTTTCCATTTGACTTTAGTTTCTTCAGCTTTTTTTCAGGTTGTCAAAATTTCAGTTGTATTTTCAGAGTTTTGTCATTTCAGAATATGCTGTGTTGTGGTTGTCCAGGAGCTCAGGTGATAAGGTCTGTAGTAGTTCTGCTTTGTGAACAACTCATGTTTTCAAATAGAAGCTTCTGTAGCTAATAAAAATTTTAAGCTAAAAGATTTAGAATTGAAAACTATCTTCCTAACATGCACATACATTTCACCACCAAAAATTAATATAGACCTATCCTATAGGCTTATAGAGACTACTATATAGCTATTAACAGTATATATTAAAATTTCATAATGACCAGTGTATGATGGTACTTGAAGTGTTTTTAGGAGTTTCCTTGGAAAAATTATATTCCAATTGTGTCTTTTAACTGAGGAAAATAAAGCAGATATTAGAGCCAATGGAAAGAACGAAAATCAACAGAGCAAAGGAAAACTGATGATAATTTTATAGCGTACAACATTAAAGATTCCTAGCAACATTAATAAATAAGGAACAAAATTTTAGTTGAAGTCTATAACAGCAAAATCTACTTTTAGCACCTTCTGTTTATAGAGTTTTAGCTGTCTTTCCCAGATTTCCTCTAAATATATTATGCATCAGAAATAAATAGAAGTTACTCTTTCAAGGGGTTTGGGTTGCTGGAGAGTTTTTTTTATATTTGTGGTGGTGGTGGTTTATTGTTTTTCTTTGTTAAGATTTGACATCTGCTAGAGAAAGATTTCCCCAGATTGATATGTAAGAACTTCAGAACAAGAAAAAAAAAAAAATCTAGATATACATTAAGTTCTGCCACTAGTTTTTCTCATGTTATCATAAATAGTCCACTTCTTTATTTTTTCCTTCAAAGGTTGAGAATAATTGCCAAATATATTAGTAGATCCTGAATTTTGTTATTGCTGAAAAGTTTATAACAAGATTTCTTGATTGAATGTCAGGGAATTTCCGACTATTAGTTTTTGCTTTTTAAAGTTTTTTTTTTTAATTATTTTTTGAGGCATGGTTTTGCCATTCCTTGAACTGGAGATCCTCCTACTTCTACCTCCCTAGTGCTGGAATTACGGATGTGCACCTCCACTTCTAACAGACTGGAGCCTTTCAATTAGCATAGGTACTTTCAGAAATAAGCTTTGATTACTTATTTCTTTTAAAAAAGAAAAAAATCAGAATTTTTCTGACATTCACTCAAGAAATCTGTACTTTTTCTTTATTATAAATTCATTCAGCAGCAACAGAAATCCATCAGGTGATTTAAGAAAAACAAATTGCAAATGATTCTAAGAAGACCTTATTATTTCTTCGGAATGATATAAAGATGTTTTAGATTTTTTTTTTTTTTGTCACTGTAAACGCTATTTCAGAGAAATGGAGTTCTCCCTAGTACTTTTGTATCACCCTAGTACTTTTGTATCACCCTAGTACTTTTGTATCACACCTCAAAATGCCATTTACAGAAAAATAGAATGTGTTGCTGATGCCTATAAATGGGAAAATCCTGACATCTGTCATCATATTCCGGTTAATCTTGACCATTCATGTACTTAGAAAAAAATTAATTCAATACACATGTAATTTACTTCCTTTTCAAAGCATTTGTTGCTGATTTCTGTTTTATAATGAACCTCTTGGGATGTTGCTAATTCTAAAAATATGTAGTATCCCGTTTCCCACCATCTTCTGCAGTTTCTTATTCTATTCCTTTTTTGGCTGCAGTTTGCTTTTTCCCCTAAACTGTCTAAAATAAGCTAAGAAATGTTTAAACATGCTTAACAAGAAATCCACTCAGTCATTTATCCTGATAAATGTCAGCTAAATTTCACCATACAAGTGCATTCAACTCTGTTTTGGAGATAGTAGTACACTTTTGAAGAGGACTAAAGCAGGAATAGCATATTGGGTACCAAATCATATTACTTGGTGGTGACTGGATTCCTAGAACCAACTTAGCAGGAAAGAGTGATAGGATTAGCAGTTTCTGCTGTTGGATTTTGAGCATGAATGCTAAATATGCATTTAGTAAGTATTTATTGGATGCTTTTTATGTGTCATTTAGGTGCTGACATCACACAGACTAAATTCTATGTCTTTTGTTGCTTACAGTCTAATCATAAGACCAGATGATAAAATAAATAAGCACTGGGGTTGTAGCTTAGTGGTAGAGCACTTGCCTAGCATGCTTGCCCTGGGTTTGATCTGAAGCACCACAAAAATACATACATACATACAAAATATATATATATCTATACTTCAAGAAAAAAATGGCCTGATTTCTTCAACAAATAGTGAGATATGAGAGGGAGAGGAACTATATGATTTAAAAGAGACTTAAGAGGAATATACACCAACCTAGATCTAAACCTTAGATCCTGCTTTGAACAGTTTAGCTGTTAAAAAAAAAAAAACTGAATAATTGGTGAAATTTGGGTACTGTATATTTAGTGAAAAGGAATTGTCATAATTTTAGGCATGGTAACGTATGTGTTTTTAAAGTCCTTACCTTGAAAAGAGATATGTATATAATAATGTATCTATGAATTAAAATGTGATGTCTGGGTTTTTTTTTTAATTTAAAATAATTTGGAAGGGAGAAAACATAGATGCAATGAGATTGGCTGTACACTGGAAATTGTTGAAGGTAGATGCCATACAGGTAGAGATTTCTGACATGACTTCTTGTGTATATTTGAAAGATGCAGTTTTAAAAGGAAGTCAGAAAAGACTTCATCGATAGGATAATACATATTTAAGACTTGAAGAAGATGAGAGAGCAAGC